CTGAGCAGGGGGTTGGACTAGAAGACCTCCAAGGTCCTTTCCAACTCTCTTATTCTATCTTCTGTAACGGTTCATTAGAGAAGGATTTAGGGGTGATAGGATAGCAAGAGTTCCAACATTTGAGGGGCTTCCCCAAAGAAGAGGGAGTCAAGCTATTCTCCAAAGCACATGAGGGCAGGACAAGAAGCAATGGGTGGAAACTAATCAAGGAGAGAAGCAACTTAGAACTAAGGAGGAATTTCTTGACACTGAGAAGAATTAACAGTGGAAGATCCCACCAGTGGAATTCCCACCAGAAATTGTGGGTGCTCCATCACTGAAGGTTTTTAAAGAGAGATTAGACAATCCCTTGTCAGAAATGGTATAGGGTCTCCTGCTTGAGGAGTGGGAGTTGGACTAGAAGACCTCCAAGGTCCCTTCCAACCTCATTATTCCATGTTCTTGAATACCTCTTCTTCCCCCCGTGTTCTCCAAAGCTCCTGAAGGCAGAATATGAAGCAATGGATGGAAACGAATCAAGGAGCAATGCAATCGAGAATTAAGGAGAAATTTCCTGACATCGAGGACAATCAATCAGTGGAACAGCCTGCCACTAGAAGATGTGGCTGCTCCATCACTGGAGGCTTTTAAGAAGAGATTGGACAACAGCCTGCCTGAAATGGCACAGGGTCTCCTGCTTGAGCAGGGGGTTGGACTAGAAGACCTCCAACCTCCCTTCCGACTCCGTCATTCTGTTAACTGTTATTTCGATCTGCCAGAAATCCGTCTCCTGAACCAGACCGAAGGTTAAGGGATTCCAAAATCTGAAAATGTCAGGCCTGTCCCAGCTTGGGCACTAAGCAAAGAAAGACCCTCGACTCCCATTTGTGGTGAAAGCTACAAATAATCCAGGGGCAAAAAATTCCCTTAACAACCGTCTTGGTTAGCCACAGAAAAATTGGGCTCTATTGCGGTCGTACGCCGAGGACTGCCTGTACGCGAGAAAGCCGGTGCGTACAGAGCCAATGTGAGGTTGGCTGGTGCGCCTTGTGCGCGGCTGACTTTGCAAGGCTTAGCAAGAAATACGCGGCATTTTGGAACATCCGGAGTTGAAAATTGTGCTGGGAGTTGAGGAAAAGCAAAAGAGATTAGCGCTGTTAAAAGTCCAGTGTATTTTACAGCGCAGGGCGATCTCTCGGCAGCCGCAGAAGGAGATAAACCTTTTTCTGTTGAACGAATTACTTTTCGGGTAGCATCCGAAGACGTAGATTTGGGATGTGCTTTCTAAATAATTTTTTTTTAACAAAAAACCACATATCAACCCACAGTGTCTGGCACCAGCAAGGGAAACATGAGGGTGGGGGGTGGGGGAGAAACGAAAGATGTTTTAGCTCTTATTACCATATTTTTTGGAGTATAAGACACACNCAACAGCTCATTTAGTGACTGCACTGTCAGGCCTGCAGCCATCTTTTCTTTTGGATCTCTGGCCTGCCACACTTTCTATTATTCTACTATACCTTTTTCTATGGTGGGAAAATGGGATTGTATGGAGTGAGATGATAGGTAGCCATAACAACATTCTTTCTAGAAAACCAAGGTCATCCTTTGTCTCTGCATCTCTGCACCTGACCGGAACTGGATGGGAGGAAGCTGCCAGCATGGCAGTGGGGGATTGGACCATGGGATGGATTTATGGGTGTGGGGGAGGAAAGATCTTGAACTTTCAACTGGGTGGGGAAAACCGGGAAGCTTTCAGATTCGGGTTTCCCTAGATGTGCCAACATGGCTCTCTTCATCAATTGGGACTTTGAGGAATCCTTTGCCTTGGACTCTGATTTACTTTTGGATGCTGTTTGGAACCCTGACATGCTCAAAGTTACAACGGGGGGAAACTACCCCGGGGTGGGGTGGGACGTCCAACGCAAACCTACCAGGCAAAGCGATGCATTCTTGATTCCGGGCTTCCCACTGGCAGTTCTGGTCCAGGCTGCAGCTCTTGCAGCTGGTTTTTTTGTTGCAGTAAAAGGCAGGGTTGTCCTTGGGGCAGCTTTCGAAGGAGGTGATGGGGCTCTAGAAGCAAAACGGAAGAAGGAAAAATAAATAAAGTTTTCTTTGAGTCAATGGTTCTGCAGCCAGGCGTGATTGAATAGAACCTCTAGGGAACAAAAGGAGCCCTGGGGAAGGAGAAGGGGGGAGGCCCACCAAGTCCAGCCCGTTTTGTCCCTGCAGCAACCGGGCGAGAGACGCTGCATGGCAACTTGACTGCCGCGTTGCGCTCCGCCTGGGGCGGCCCTTGAAGAGGATGCGGAAGCGCCACCTGGGTCAAAACGGGCAGCCCGCCTGCTTTTGTCCAGAGCCAGGTGTGCGCAGGTGTTGTCTCTCCTGCGGGAGCTGCTGCCCTGGCTGCCCATCGGCTTCCAGGTCCGATTCAAGGGGCTGGTAGGGTCGCTTTCAAAGCCCAAGATGGCTTGGAGGGAGGGGGTGGGGGGATGTCAGGTTAACTGAAAGGAGGTCTTTTCCCAGCCGCAGCTCCCGGACTCATGGAGTGGGGAAGGCAGGGGGTGCTGTGGGTCCCTTTCTCTTATGGAGGTCCATCTGGCAGGGACCAAGAAGAAGGGCCTTCTCCGTGGTGGCTCCCTCCCTCCCTGTGGAAGGTCATCCCTGGGGAGATAAGATGGGCTCCCACCTTGGCAGGCTTTTACAAGGCTCTGAAGGCCTGGTTCTGCCTCTCTCCCTCTTTTCTTTCCTTTCCTTCTCCCAGCCTTCCTTCCTCTTTCCTTTCTTCCTCCCCTCTTTTCTTCCCTGCCTGTCTCCCTCCCTCTTTTCTTTCTTTCCTTCCTCCCTTCCCTTCCTTCCTCTCCTCCCTTCCTTCCTCTCCTCCCTTCTTTTCTTCCTCTTTCCTTCCTTCCCTCTTTTTTCTTTTCCTTCCTCCCCTCTTTTCTGTCCTTCGTCTTCATTCCTTTCTCTTTCCTTCCTTCCCCCTCCCTCTTTTCTTTCATTCCTTCCTCTCCTCCCTACCTTTCTTCCTCCCTTCCTCTTTCCTTCCTTCCTCTATCCCTCCCTCTTTTCCTTCCTCCCTCCCCCCCTTTTCCTTCCTTCCTTCCCTTCCTGTTTCCCTCCCTCTTTTCCTTCCTCCCTCCCTTCCTTTTTCTCCTCCTTCCCTCCCTTCATCCTAAAGAGTTTCAACCCACCTAGAACTCCAAATCAGGGCCCATGGCCAGCAAGGCCTTTTCTCGCAGAGGCCGCTAGGAAGCATGCGCAGAGGGTTACCTGGTCTTCCGAGCAATTGCTGTTCTTGGAGAGGCACTGGTCGGTGCACCAATGGCACCAGTTGGTGTTGGCCGTGCAGCTGTAGCAGTCGGTAATCTGGTCGCATTTTTCATGGTCCACCGCTAGGCAGAGAGAGAACAGGCAGCACCGTCAAACCCTCCCGTGGTTCATCCCCACCCGCGGGTGACCGACAGACAAGGTGGAACTTCTCTATCGCCCCCCCCCCCGCAAGGACGCCCTAGGGAGCCGCTCAGGAGCCGCCTTCACCACCGTTTCAACTGAACCAGCCGCCTCAATTTGGTTGAGGTATCCGAATTATTTCCTGGTAAAAAAAATATCGTTCCGACCAGTGGTGGGTTTCACATTTTATTACTACGGGTGCACACTCCCCTTCTGCGCATGCACCCGGCCTTCCGCACATGCGCTTTGCTCATGCGCGCACCTTCCATGCTTGCGCCCAGCCTCAAAAATGTGCCTAAATAGGATGGCATAGAGTTGGGGCGGGTGGGCGTGCCCACTGGCGATTTCCGCTACTGGTTCAGGCAGAGAAGAGTTTCAGTTCAGAGCAGCAGACTAGTTTCGAGCTCAGCACAGACCCAGAGCTACAGAGCTAAGCCACGCCCAGGCTCCTTGCTGTCTCCAGCAAATACTGCTCCAGTTTCCAAACAGCCCTCGTTGGCTGACTTAGTGGCTATGTCTATTCCAAGCCATGAACTCTCTAACACACACTGACATGCATGGCTGGCTGAGGAATCCTGGGAATTGAAGTCCACAGTTCTTGAAGGGGCCCAGGTGTGGCAATACTGGCCTAGGATACAGTCCACGGTAAAACCAGTGGACTCAAAACTGCAATACCCACCCAGCCAAGAAGGACATTCTTCGTTCGTTTTGTGTTCTTGCTGCACGGCGGATATTTCCCAAGGGAGGCACTGGGAAACGGAGCTGTTCCAGACACATCGGAGTCCAGGACCCGCCTTTAAGCAGGAGAGCTGAGTGGCGTACGCTTCGCAGCTTTCGGGCGTGTATTTTACGATGTCACTCAAGAGCAGGCTGTTGAAGCCTCCGAACAGGTACATGGTGCTAAGAAAGAAAGAAAGAAAGAAAGAAAGAAAGAAAGAGAGAGAGAGAGAGAGAGAGAGAGAGAGAGAGAGAGAGAGAGAGAG